GGGTGTAGGTGTGGAAAACAAAGTTGTCCCTGGTTGAGAACCACTGGTTCATGAATGAAAGTGCTTTCACACTGAAAAGGCAGAGTAGAGACTATATGGCTCACAAAATCTCGAATATTTACTATCTGGCTCTTCACAGAAAAAGTTTGTTAATTTCTTTTGCCATAATCAATGGCAAAGGATACAAACTAGACTAAGAAAATAAACTGCAAAGCATAAAACAATATAATCTCATAAAGTTTCTACAAATTGCTTTAAAATATGACTCAAAATTTAAAAAGAGGATACAAACAAGCAAAACTTGAATGACCCTCAGGCATGGTAGATGCTCAATCTGACTGGCAGTTAAGAAAATGCAAATTGAAAGCACTTTGTTTTCTTTACCCAACAACAAAAAGTTCAGTCCTGTTTGAAATTGTCAGAAAATGGACATAAATCCCCACTGAGATTAATGGTGAGTTTCAGACAATAATAAAGTATTAACTACATTTAAAATATGCTATGTAGTAAGGCAAGAAACTCAACTGGTAGGAATCCACCTACTCCATAGACATAAGGCACCAACATGCAACAATACACTTGTAGTGGCAGTGAAATTGTTTGTTGCACAATTATTGGTAAATAACAAATCTGAACTTCCATTAGTGGAAAAATGGGCTGCATATATTATGATTGTCTATACAGTAGTCTCTTGTTATTCATGTTTCAAGACTGTCAGTGGATGCCTGAAAATGCAGACAGTACCAAGCCCTACACACACAGTTTTTTCCTATACATACATGCCTACAATAAAGCTTAATTTTTAGATTAGGCACAATAACAGGTTAATGATAGCTAATAATCCAATAGAACAATTACAAAAATATACTCTGATAAAAGTTATGTGAATATGATCTGTATCTTACTTTTGGGCTGAGGTTGACCATGGGTAATTGAAAGCGCAGAAAGTGAGGATAAGGGCGACTACTGCATTATGTAAGAATGTAAAGCTAGCTTGATCTGTATGTATTGACTTGAAAAATGTAGGCCAGGCTCGGTGGCTCAGCCTGTAATCCCGGGCTTTGGGAGGGCGAGCTGAGTGGACTGCCTGAGCCCGCGGGTTCGAGACCCGCCTGGGTAACTTGGTGAGCCCTCATCTCTACAATAAATCAAAAAATTAGCCAGGCATGGTAGTGCATGCCTGCAATTTCGGCTACTTGGAAGGCTGAGGCGGAAGGATCACCGGAGCCCAGCAGGCTGTGGTGGCCGGGAGCGGCCGCTGCACTCCAGTCTGGGCGACAGAGTGAGGCTCCAACTCAAAAAATAAAAAAAGAAAAATGTACATGGTATTTTACCAAGTGAGAAAAGGAGGCAGCACCTCAATGTGTATGCACAATCCCATTCAAACTACTCTTTCTTCTTATTTTACCCAGACAAATCTCGTAGATGTGGGTATGCTTCGTGAGTATGAAGAAAAGCATGGAAGCATACATATTAGGCTTTTGAGGATATCAGCACTAAAGAAAATCAGTTTGTAGTTAAAAAAAAAATCTTTGTAGTACAGTTGCACCTTCAATAACAGGTGTTTTCATGATGTGAGTCCACTTGTATTGTGGATTTTTTTCAACATAACGCCAGTTGAAAATACAGCATTTGTGGGATGTGAAACCCACATGTATGCAGGCTCTGCAGGGCTGCGTGTGGGACTGGAGCCTATGCAGACTTTGGTATACGCAGAAAGTCATGGAGCTGTTCTCCCATGTAAACTGAGGAATGACGGTATATTCCTGGTTTTTGGTGAAACGTTATATAAACTTGGAAGAGAACGTTTAAGCATTGAAAAGAGAAATATGTATACATGAGCAGAAAATGAAAGAGAATCATCTCAACATTTTCAATAATTCAAAAAGTTAGAAAAAAATAATGGAATCAGTACTATGATAACAACTATTTTTGCCTGGAGACAAATTCTCCTCTTAGAAGAATACTTGCAATTTTATGAAATAAACATAGCAGTGAAGAAAAAATTTATTATTTAGTCATTTCTCCCATTTACAAATTTGAAGCTTAAACCTTGTTATAAATTATCCTCTAATGGATTGACTAATACTTAGTTAGGACCAATTTTATTTACCACAAAATAGATTTTTTATATTTAACTTATTTAAAATATTTATTATTTTTCTATAATGTGGGGCAGCAGTGGGATCTACTACATGGTGATTACTCTGTGTTGTGAATATCTGTAGGTTAGAAGATATGATCAAGTGGACAAATGCAGTGACTTCACAGCAGTTGAACGATATGCTGTATTAGTTCTCAGTTAGTACTTTCAGTAGGTAATGGTTTTTTTAGTGTTTAGTTTCCAATGTGTAAACACTGTATTTATGCATTAACAAGGTCAGGTCATGAACATGCTGGCAAATAATCTACCATGTTCTTGTTTTAACAGGCTGTTCGATTTGACTTGCTATTTTAATTGGAATACTCAAATGCCAAAAGTACAACAGACTTTTTTTTAAATAGCTGACTTGATCTTAGATGCTGTCCTTTTCCAAATGTGGCAAAAGAGTAATGCTAGCCTCATAGTTTTGACTTCTTTGCATCTTCTAACTCATAAAGAGTTAGAAGACTTTATCTGTAAGATAATCTGGTACTGGAGGAATTATATGATGTAGCTCTTTAACCAGGTTCTTCTTGGTTCTTACTTCATTCAGGGAAATAATACTTTTTTGAGATTTCAGACATACTGTAAAAAGCTAAATTTAAACACACACTATAAAATGCTGATGGCAAACAAAATATTTCCTACATCTTACTACATCAATGTTGAATATATGCATAAATTTCAACCTCATATATATTTTTAAAAATCTAAGAATGTTTTTCTACAAAGTCAGATATACTATAAAAAGCTAATTATAAACATTTTATCATTTCACTAAGTTAAAGTTGAATGTGTGTATATATGAAAATAATTTTTTAAAATTTATTTTTATTTGTTTTATTTTTTTTTGAGTTGAAGTCTCACTCCGTCGCCCAGACTGGAGTGCAGTGGCCGCTCCCGGACACCACAGCCTCGACCTGCTGGGCT